TTAAGCCACAGGGCTTCGCGTACATTCATATGCTTCCGTAGATTACAGAGTTTTGCCTCCAGCTGGAATTGAACCATCGACCTTGTCTGTGGAGAGAGGGGTGCCTAGACCACTAGGCTACAGGACCCCATCCCTAAATTATAATGTGTTATTACATTATTATACATATTGTTTATTACTGAAATTAAAATTTCAGGATAGTTATTTGAAAAACAGTTGTAAAACTTTTGTAGTTGGATAATTATCCAGAACAGCTTAGTAAAACATTAAGATAATGTTAATAATTATATTATTATTAAAAAATAAAAATTCAATCTGATCTGGATGTTTGAAGAATCTAATTATTATCCAATAATTATGGTACACTAATGTGATACACGAGTTTTAGGTGCAATTAGAGTATTTATATAATAGATAAAACATAATTAAGAAGATATTAGCTAAAGGTATACAAAGCAATAATAAAGTTTTAATGATTTTTCATGATATTAATAGCAATAAATGTATCGAATAAAAATAGATGTAAACTTAATTCTTAACCATATATTTTAAAATAGATATGTGGTTTTAAATAACTAAATTCAGATAATCACAATGGATGGAGATAAATAAGCAAGACATTACAAAATAAATTTTATATGAATTTTTTTTTTTTAAAAATATTTATTTTCACTCATCACATTTGAGTTTTCTTTGAATTTTATGTTTATTTTTCTTATTCCTTGGTCGTATCAACATCTAATAATCTTTTCAAATAAAGTTCCAAAGATTTTTTATTAAAAAAAAAACCTCAAACAATAATTACATTATGCAATAAAGAAAATAATAATGAGTTTAATGCCTTCCTTGTGCTCACAAAGTGTATAATTCTAATAAGGTAGCTGCATGATGCAGTCAAAAATGAAAGCAAATAAAATAGTTAACAAATAGTCTAAGTAATATACAAATAAGAACTGATCTAGCATCTCATTAATATATTGTGAAACATTTGATAGATACTATAAGTAATCGACTCACATTAGCTAATCAAACAAAAGTTTATAAGGCATCATATAATAAATTGTTTTTGATAATTATCATTTAATCAACCCAATGAAAAATCCTACAAAAAAAAACAATAAATGTCAAATATCAAATAAATATGCAAATTAACTTGTATCAGATTACTTATTTTTGCATCTAAAATTCCTTTTTTACTATTGTTAATTATCACAACTGTACATTGCTTACATTCTTATTTTTTTTGTATTCAAATTATGCTCTGTGATTATATATTTGAATGCACATGTATATTCATTAATCTATAGATTCCAGAATGTGCAAAAAATAATTAAAATTTGATGAATAAGTCATGTAGAGGACATAAACCACTTATTGCACCTTATGCATGATATTAATGCAAAAAATTCATCAAACAAATATAGAAATCATGAGATAAAGTTACAAAAATTGAACATCCAATCAGATACAAGATTTTGTATAAGGCATTAACTCTCAGATAAACCATACACTATATTGTACATTGTACAAACTTCATTCCTGATATAATTCACTGTTTAAATGAGTAATAAAAAGGGAAAACCTGTAAATTATTTCACTCATTAAGTGAGATGTTTTACAGATTTTCTCTTTTTGTCACTCAAATATTGCAATATTATATCAATATTTAAATAAACCTGATCTTATTTTATAAAATCATATTTTTTGATCACAAAATTGAAAAGAATATTACATATACTAGTGTATAAAATAATTAACAAAGTTATATGATTAGTTATTATAAATCTCAACTGTCTATAAAAATGTTTGATAGTATTAACATTGTTGTCACTAAAATCAATAGTGTCACTAAAACTTAAAGTTCTAATGACTCTATTGATTTTACTTTCAGTAACAATACTATTTAGTATTAATATGTTTTTGATTCATATTAGAAGCTATGATTTTTATAAGTTATTTTAAACTAACAAATCTAAATTTGGATAACCAATTTGGTCATGGTTATAGTTGTTAGATAAAACTATTTCATGTAAGTGATGAAAGATAAATTCTAATGAAATGGTAAAAACTCTAGCAAAATTCAACTTAGTGAAGATCAAATCCATTAAGACTAAGCTGTGTTAATGAATAAAAATATTTTTGAGTAGCTATTAAGCTCTGTATGTGGCTTATATAAAGAAATATACAAAGCAATAAACAGAGTGATAGCTTTTTGTTTATAAAAAAAAAATATAACTTTTGAACTTATAATTAAATAAACTTATCTTAAAATTATATTTTCTTTTAAAACTGTTAATCTATGTATTAATGCATAATTATTTATATAAATTTTATTATTAAATTAGAAAACTCTTAAACTCTTTCTTGAAAATTCTAATTTTATAGCAAAAGTAAAAAAACAAAATTTTTTTTAAAAAGTTGAAATAAAATAGACCTTAACTCATTAACTAAATATTTAATATTAACAAACAATATAGTATAAACCTTAACAGAATTAAACAAAGTTACAGAAAAGTCTTCTATACTCTCATCTCTTTTTCATCTGTGTTGCTGATTAAGTTAGCAACTGAAACTTGTAACAGAAAAGATAACAATAAGTTCAAAGAAAGACATTATAAATAACATATACAAATACTATTTATTTAAGAAACTATGCACAGGTCAGATGAATACATAAAGGATAAATAACAGTCTGCCTTTTATATTCTAATAGCTATCTTTTATTTATCTATTTATAATCTATTATGTTACAGTTATTTAGCAGATATAGAGTAGAATAAAAGATAAATATCATAATATATCAAAGTTAAATATAAGTTAAATAAAAGTCTTCTTTTAATATTCTATTATTTATTTTTTATATTATAATTATAAATCTGTTTTGTTATCATTATTTGGCAGTATCAAATATAAATATCATCATTTCTAAATAAATATAGATTAAATATAAGTTAAATATAGGTTAAATTTTAGATATTTTAACATTATAATAGCTATGTTTATTTATCTACTTACATTTTGTTATATTACAGTTATTTGCCAAATATATGATAACATATAAGATGAATATTGGTACTTTATAAGAACTAAATACAATAAAGGTATTTATCTTTTATAAATCTGTTCTGCTATCATTATTTGGACATTAAATTTAAATATCAGCATTTAAATAAATATAGGTTAATTTTTAGATACTTTAAACATTCTAATAACTACATTTAAATGTTTACTTATAATCTGTTATATTATAGTTATTTGCCAGATATATGATAACATATAAGATAGATCTTAGTACTATATAAAAAGAATTTTGCTATATATCGCCATTGGTGGTATCACCAGTCATGTGACATATTATATGCAAGGATCAATTGAATTTAGACTTATTAAAATGAATTTTGTTTGTCACGAAGGTGTGTCGAATCATATGTAGTAACAAATAAGCATAAACTAATAGATCATATTGTTTAATACTTATTAGTCACACCAAATAATTCGTCATGCCAATGCACCAAATAAAGAGTTACTTTTATAACACTTCAAATTAGCAGCAAAATAGACTATTTTTAATACACTAAGTAGATTGGTATTTTAAACAAGTATGACTTTAAGTATCTAAAATTTTAACATTAAGCAGATGCAAACTTGAAGCACGATTAGGAATGTGCCATTTATATGGTGCCTGAATTATTTTCATGTACAGTATGACAGCTGGTAAAAAAGATCAGTAAAAATTTTTGCACACAGTATATACAGTACGTATAGTTTGTTTACAGCATATCTCTGGGCACAATATATATATATTATGTTCAATCAATTTAAGCATATATCAAACTAATAATGTGATTGAAAACTTTCTATTCACTATGCTATGGCTGTCACCTCTGATTCGCTCCCTTTTACTAAAAACAAGTTAGTCAGTATGTTTAATATTGGAACACTCTAACCCTAACTGTAAGCAGAGATATGCAAAAATTTAGACATTATTTATTGATTTTCAAATTTTGCATGTCCCTATTTGCAAGTCTCTATGCTCTAATCAGCTAATGGTACTATTAACTTTTTTATAATTTAGTAGATAGGCCAAAACAGCATTTAAAATGCCAGTTTAAAAAATTTCGCAGATTACGTGAAATGAAGATCATGGGATTTTCAGATATTATATTCATATGCACAGTTTAAACATAAGTTAAAAGTTTAATAAAAAAAACTTCTATTTAAGAATAAACTTTCTGTTATCCTTTGTGAAGCAAAAAATAGTTAATGCTTTCACTACAGCTGCCGTCTCTGTTGCAGTATTTTTTTTACTAAAGCTAAAAAAAAAAAATATTTAATTAGTTTACTCTAACTCTAACCCTAAACCTAAACAAGAACTTTAATTTAATCTGGTGATAGATATTAATCGTATGTATGTCATCATTACATTTTATAAGATCACATAATCTGCAAAATTTTTTTGACTGGTGTTGCTAGTCTTGTAATAGGCTAATGCAAAAAAAATAGAAACCTAATAAGTTGCAAATTATATGCTTTTGATCGATTTAATAATAAAGACTGCTTAAATTGCAAATTAAGTAAATAAATGCATAGATGCTATTGTATGAAATTAGATTAATTGAAAACTCTAGCAGCCAATACTAATATTATCCTTCTAATTCGAATTACTTCTTATTATTAGAATTTAAACTGCAAGTTTTAGCATAATGACCAGTATTATTACAGTAAGAACATTTGCGTATTGACTTGTTTGTAATATCAGATTCATGAAGTACTTTATTAGATTCAAGAATTTTTTGAGAACCTGGTCTATTAATATTATCCAAAGAATCTTGTAATTGTTTCTTTGGTCGACCATGATATAAAATAATATGAGGATTCGTCACTATTCTAAAATCATCCAAAGAATTATTAGATGCAATAGATTTTGACTCAATAAAACTATATATTAACCCAATAAATTTATTCATTGTATCAGTGTCAAGAGCAAGCTAAACCCCTTTTTTTAGCAATCCTAATACCTCGACAATAGTCAGCTTTTTTAGAAGAGTATTGTTGAATTTCATAATTGAAACAATTCAGCCTTCAGAGTTGTTCAATAAGTGCAAAGATATTACCCAATTCATCATTTTGTTTTTCTTGCATGTCTGTTATATTATTCATAATCTGAACAGTAATTGGTTGCTCAATCATACTTATAAAACTTGTAAACCACTGTTGAGGTATCATTTGTATTTAGAATTTAATAAGTGAAGAGACAGCTAGAACTGAAAAAAAGTGCCAGCAGAAAAAGCCTTTAGTGATAAGTAACATACAGGAGCATAAATAAATACTATTATCTAAAACTACAATATATTGTCTATCACAAGAGACTGAATTGCTAAATAATTTAATATGCCAAATTTCATGAACGTTTTGGCTTTCAACTAATTTAAGCATCGACAAAAGTAGTATATGGCTTTTTTGGTAATCATCTTCAAGAAATCCATTGGTATAATCAGAATGATCATTCTAACCAAATAGATAATTAATAATAGTTTGTAAATTTTAAACTTAACACTAAAAAATAAACAGAGGGTATGGGTTCTATAGCTTAGCGGTTAAGCTCCCATGCCCCCACAGTCAAGGTCAACGGTTCAAGTCTGGCTGGAGGCAAAAATCAAAAAGATTTTAGCCTCTGTAACC